CCCCCCCCCCCCCGGCCTGGGGAGATAGGAGGGGGCACAGGGGCTGGCGATGACAGCGAGGGGTCCACAGGGAGCGGTGGGGTGCAGGGGTGCAGGGTGGCGCATCATGACACGCCGTGGCCATGACACCCGCAGCCGGGGGCGCCAGCGGCTTCTCAGTGTCCAGCCCTCCCTCCACGGCAGCTTCACTCATCTATCACCTCCACAGAGTCCTCATCCTTCCTCTCCTCCGACTGCTCCTCTGTCGTCTCCGTGTTGCCCATGTCGGACAGCGAGGCCACCTGCCGCACCCAGTCCCTGTCACTGAGAGGCTCTGGGTCGCACGGTCGGGAGAAGGGGTTGAACCAGTTCGGGGAGAAGTCCCCACCAAAGGTCTCCTTTACCGACTTCCAGCTGGCCCTGCGCTCCCTGGGCTGGTGCTTTCGTTTGAGGCGCTCGATGCCCTGGAGGGACAACGGGACAAAGAGGGTCAGCGTGGTGTGGGCCTTGCGCCCTCAAGCTCACCCCCAGCCCCGGCACGGCAGAGCACGGAGGCCCAGGGCGTGGGCGAGGGGGCCGGCGGGACACGGACTGCCGGGGCCAGGTCAGGGCTGTGGGGCCCTAGGGGCCGATGGGATGCGGGCGGAGAGCAGTGGAGAGCGGCACAGCAAGCAGGGCCTTCCTGGGGAGCTGGCCCGTGTCCCCCCCACCCCAGGCCTCTGTCCTTTCCTCCCACAGGTGCTGGGGGGCCGCCCAGCCTCCTTAAGTCAGTCCAGGCCGCCCAGGGGCCCAGGGCCAAGGAGTGACGTCGCATCTGCCCTGAGAGCCCTAGAAAGACGACTCCTCCCTGGGGATTCTGGGCCGCGCCCCACCCCCCCAGCAGATGCAGCCGACTTAGCACGAAGAAGGGATGCAGGCGGAAAGGGCAGAGCACAGGTACACACAACGCTGGGGCCGAGGAAGCGGGAGTGTGCATAGCTAATGCCAACATGCGGCGGGCAGCCGGGGGCACGCGGGGCCGCCGTGGGGAGGCCCGGGCCGGCGTCGGGCCCCAGTCATGCGCAGACACGCCCTGCCGCTGCTCCCAAGCTGCCCACTCACCTGCCTCTGGGCGTCGGTGGCGACTCAGCTGCCAGGCCACAGAAAGAGGGTGTCAGGTAGGGGGGAAAGCCCACAGGAGTTAAAGGCACAGCCAGGCCAGCTCTTCAGGCCACAGCACCCTCCACAAAGGCCTTTAGCCCCACCGTTAGCACTGGGGCCTCTGCCTTCTCCGTCCCTTCCGGAAACCCAGGGAATGTGCTGCGGGTTTGCCGGGCACGGGCCCTGCTCATTCACACGACTCATTCCACCTCGGAATGATCCCTGAGTACCTCGTTCTAGGTTTCCTCCTCCTTTCCACACAAGGGCCTCACATAACCGGAATGATCCCTTCTGTTATGTGGAAAGAGAAACTGAGGCACGCATAGACTGAGCTCTGCCCCATCCTGTGGGCCAGTTCTCCTCCAGCACTCTTTCTTCCCACCCCATCTCACAGATTTCAGTGCCTTGGCTTTTGAGAAAAACTGTAGTTTAAAGAATCTGCTCGTAAGCTGCTAATTACAAAGGGCAGACCAGTAACTTTACAGTGAGGGGATGTTTTGCGGGTATCACCTTACCCAAATCGAAGTTAACATCACTGAGATGTGTCAACATCATACGCCTCAGGACGAGACACACCCGGGACCTCGCCCCGGTCGCCCTGCCCTGCCCGAAATGCACAAGCTTGACCTAATTGCAAGAAAACATCAGACAAATGCAAACTGAAGGCTATTCTACCAAATATGTGACCTCCAACCTTCAAAAGGGTCGAAGTCTGATGGAAATGCTTTGGAACCAGAAAGAGTGGTGACTGTGTACAGAAGTAGGTCTGTGCCAAATGTCACTGAATTGCACGCACGAAATTGGTTGATTTTATGTTATGTGAATTTCACCTCAATTGTCAAAAAGGGGTCACAGGGCGCCTGGGTGGCTCAGTCGGCCAAGGGTCTGACTCTTGATTTCGGCTTATGGTTCATGAGATGGAGCTATGTGCTGACCGCGGGAGGCTGCTTGGGATTCTTTCTCTCTCTCTCTCTCTCTGTGTCGCCCCTCCAAATAAATAAACATTTTTTTAAAAGGGTTCGGGGTGCCTGGGTGGTTCAGTTGTCTGACTTTGGCTCAGGTCATGTCATGATCTCATGGTTCATGAGTCTGAGCCCTGCATTGAGCTCTCTGCTGTCAGCATGGAGCCCGCTTTGGAGACTCTGTCCCCCTCTCATGCATGCACACTCGCTCGCTCTCAAAAATAAACATTAAAAATATTTTTTTAATAAAAATAAAATAAAAATTAAAAAGGGGGGTCAAGTTCACGAAAGACAAAGCCTGAGGAATGTCACGGATTGGACTAGAGCATGACAAGGGATGAACTGTGGCCTCCTGGGACAGACAAGGGTCTCAGTGGGGCACCTGGAGAAATCTGAATAAAGCATATAGATCAGTTAATGATATCAATGCGTTTCCAGGTTCCTGCATTTGTATCATGGTTATATGAAATGTTTACATTTGGAAAAACTGGCGGAAGGGGTTCTGGGGGGCTCTTTGGGCTATGTTTTCCCCTTTTTTTGTAAGTCTGAAATTCTTTCACAATAAAAAGTTTAAAAAACCTGAGACGCACAGACGTGATCAACAGTCTCGAGTACTGAGTTACAACGTGAAAAGCTGCAAACAGCCAACACGTCCAATAGCGATGGCTAAGTCAGCCATGGAAAATGGGGCTAATAAAGCTTCACGTCGCACTGGACAATCCTGTCCACGTGGTTAACAAGGGAACAAAGAAGTTAGTCGCACAGGACATCATGGGACCTGTGGGGACGGGATGTGAGATGGTTTGTATTTCTTTCTGTGGACTCTCCACACGTTCCAAGTTTCACCGACGAGCAGGTGTTGCTTTTACAATCAGAGCAGAACAGCTATTTCAGGACATGGACCCTGCTGACAACCTTTGAGGGGGCCTCCCTTCGGTCACGAGCACCTGATGTGGTGCAGCTCACGGACTGGCCCCTCTCCAGGCCTCCTTATTCAGCACAAGCAGCAATGGCCAACCGAGGGTGACCTGCTTTGGGTCACCAAATGATTGCACCACTTTGCGATCCTTTGCAGCCGGTCAAGAGAGGCATTTTAAGCATGACGTCAGGGAAGCTGAGGCATCATCATGAGGCAGGCCAGGCTACAGAGGGGACACCCGGAAATGACAGATGCACCGTATGTATCCACACTGACTGGGCTCACTCCAAGCCGCGACTGTGGATCCTTACAACCGCCCTAAGGGGACGTGGGCGTTGGTATTGACACTTGGCAGATGGAAAACCAGAGGTTTCTGAGAGGCCCTTACAGCGGCCGAAGCTTGTCCTGGTCGTCAGAGCCGTGGCGAGAACCAGCGTCTTCCTTCTGCCCAACGCGTTTTCAATCCTACTACAAATTCTCACTCTCCCCGTGCTGACCGCAAAGGCAGAGCAAAGCCACAGAGGAAAATGAAGCAAGAGAGCCCAGCGGGATTACTGTGTTCCGTTCCAGCCGTGTGTTCCCAGGCGAACAATCTCTTCTCCAAGCTCGTAAAACAAATTCCACCCAGCACCCGGCCTGTCCACCAGATAAAGTTCCCGACATCCAGGTGTGTCAGCCCTGAGTCTGGACAGAAGCAAATATTCCAAACAAATCTGATGCCTACAATGAAGCCCGAGGGTCTGGCTCAGGAGGGGCCAATGGGGTTTCTTTTTCCCGGTAGGACTCGATTTTGAGTTTTGTGTGGGTTTCGGGGTGTCCCGAAGGCAGAGTTCTTAAGCTGGAGGTCCGCAGAGGCGACAGTAATACCCACTTCAGGCTCAAGCAGAGAAGAATGGTCGATTCCTGGTTCTGGGGCAACGGCTAAAGCCAGCATGTCTAGGAGGGAGTGTGTGACTGGGGGCTTTTGGGCCCCCTCTGCCAGGAAGACACGTGAACTGTCATCTGCAAGCAAACCCACCGAGGTCCCACATTGAATGTACCAGGACTAAGGCTCCCAAGGAAGGCAGAGACTCAACTGAGGAAGTAGACTCAACTGAGGCCCACAGAGCAAAAGCTCATTGTCCCCCTGCTCCCCACATCATCGGATGGAGAAAGTCGGAGCCGCTGCTGCCCATGCCTCGCGCGCTCCTCGTCAGACGGTCCGATCACTCTCGCCGCATCTGTGGTTCACATCTTTCGACCGCGACCCACAACACGTGATGCTTTTCTGTGCGGCCCGGCGCCGCCCCCCGCAAAGTTTCACGAAACCACACGTATTCTACAACTGTGATGCATTTTTATGTTTATTTTTTTAAAAACTGCCGTGGCGAGCCCCAATGAACCCATCTCACAGATCACCAACAGTTGTGAGCGCGCTTTGAAACAGCAGAGGTCTAACGGAGCCAACATCTACGAAAGCCATCGTCACGCTGACATTCACGACCCTCATGTAATCCTCACCGCAACCTTGCGATTTGGACAAGCTCCCCGGTTTCACAGAAGAGATGGAGGCGTAAGTGCCCAAAGTCACACAGGAAGGACGTGGTGACCAGACTACACTACAGCAGCAGAAATCTGGGGCATCCTCACATCCCTGGGAGAACATGTGCCTTCCCCCAGGGGCCACTCGGATTTGCTAGAGTACCCACGATGGTCAGGTCACCAATGACTTTCTTGGTCACCAATGAGGTCTGGGGCTGGGGAGAGTACAGTGGCCAGTGGCCTGTTTCTGTGTCACCGTGAAGTCCTTCTATCCTATGGACCCCTTGGAGCAGAACCCAGTCGGACAGATGACGTGTGCGGAAAGGCTGCTGGACAGACTACTAGCCTGGCTCCCCTTCCAAGAGAGACTTTTCCTGTCTGCTCAGCATTCATTGGTTGGGGAGGCTGTGGGTCGTGAGGGGAGTGGGGCTTCCGGTCAGCACGCCCCACCCAGCATCACATGGGACCGTATCGTCGGCAGGCACCAGGGGCCGACCACCTCGGGGGTGACCCCCGCGCGCCCCAAGTGGACTCTCAGTCTTGAGCGTGTGTCCCAGTCACGTGGAGGGCTTGTGAAATCCAGATCCCTGGGCCCGGCCCCAAGAGTTTCTGACTGGGTAGGGTCTGGGCTGGGGCCTCAGCATGGGCATTTCTAACAAGTTCTTAGGTGATGCGGATGCTGCTGGTCTGGGGACCAGACCAGCGTTGCCTCGGGGCACCGCCAGCAGGAAGATTCTTGAGAAGGATTCTGGCAAAATCTTCCTCTCTTCACATTTCTTTGGTATTTAAGGGCGCCCTCTATGTTGAGACCCCCTGGCTCCACTGGCTGGCTCACCCGTCTGGCCGATGCACCACAAGGCGTGAGATGAGAGAAGCTAAAAGCCCGTCAGCCTGGCTGGGAGTGCCCAAGGTGGGCTCCTGA